TATTAGTGATGTCTACTGCTATATTAAACAATAAAGGCGAAAGAGAATCGCCTTGTCTAAGTCCTCTTGACGCTCCAAACTTACCCCTTGGTCGGCCATTTATTATGATGGAAAAGTTCATAGATTTCAAGCCAGCCCAATATCCATTTTCTCCAGCTATCACCAAACCCTTTTCGTTCCAACACATTAACTAAGAAATCCCAATCAATGTGATCATAAGCTTTTTCAAAATCAAATTTGAACACAAGACCTTCCTTCTTTTTCACCCTTGTCTCCTCAACCACTTCATTGGCCACTAAAATTGTATCAAGAATCTGCCTTCCTTTTACAAAAGCTCCTTGAGCCTGTGAGATTGTGCCACTAATTACCTCCTTTAGTCAAGAGGCCAACACTTCTGACAAAATCTTGTATAAACTCTTTGTCAAGCTTATAGGCCTATAATCAGCAACACTAATTGAAATTGCTTTCTTTGGTATGAGACAGATGTATGTTTCATTTGTGATTGAATTGATGATTCCATTGCTATGAAAATCATTGAAAACCCTCACAATATCTGATTTTACCACCTCCCAATGTTGCTGAAATAATTCCACAGTAAGACCATCAGGAGCTGGTGATTTATCACCCCCACAATTGAACACTACCTTTTTATTTCCTCTTCTTCAAAAGCCCTCTCCAGCCATATTGCTTCCCCTTCCTTGATTGGACTCCAATTAATGCCTTCTATAGTTTGACACTTCCTCCTCACATGCAGGCCTCTTTCCACCATTAGGGAGGCCAACATGTGTAAATCAACATATGTAGTGGTTGCATTTGTATGAATTTGAACTTAAGATATTTGATACCTGGAAAAATGTTTTATTTTATCGTTTGTGTCCAAAAAGTTCCAGCTATCAGGAGGGCTAACCTTCGTTTTCTATTGTAGCATTTTCTTCAGCCGTTCTTTTTTAATTTAATAATATTTTCTCAACCATTCATTAGGGTGCTGTTCGCTGTCTGATCTTCACTGAAGATGGGAAGTATATCCTCTCATCTGCAGTTGGTGAAAGGTATATTTCAGTGTGGAGTATAGCTGGTGGAAAAAAGCAGTCTGCAAGTGCTGTCCTTAAAATGGAGCACCCTGCTGTCTTCGTAGATAGCTGGTGCATAGACAGTGGGGAAGTTAGTGATGTAGGTCTATATGTTTTAGCGATTTCAGAAGTTGGCATTTGTTACTTTTGGTTTGGACAGAATATTGAAGAACTACGGAATGCGAAGTCTACAAAAATTTCACTATCTTCTGATGACATTTTGTCTACAACATACAAGGGCGCATTACCCACAATATTTGCTGCGGTTTTTCAAGGAATTGCGAAAGCTGCTTCTGGTCAGGTATTTGTCGCTTATGGGTCGCCAGTGAAGCCATCATTCCAGAAAATTTTGGCGCATTCTGGAACAGACATAAAGTTGAGTAGTTCCCATGATGGGGTTCTTCTACCAATGAGTCAGTCCCTTGTCAAATCTAAGAAAGGACAAAATGTACAAAATAGAGGTAAGACTTTCTCACAACAAGTTTTCCCTCTTAACCACATTTAGTCTCATTTCTTGTTGATTCCCTGGGATATATAGTATGAGATACTGACTGATACATTAGGGACCCTGCTGAGAGGAATCAAAACCATATTTTATTTTTCTTCTTTAGATGACGCACCTTGCATTAGCATTATTGTTCGTTTATAAATTTCGTATGCCTGTTAGGATTTGTTGCTGCTGATAACCCCTACATTTTATTCTGATTCTTGATTTTTGGCGGTCAGCTGACTATTTGTGCAATGATCCCACAGTTATTGCATTAGATCGTGCAAATGCAGAAGAGGCCTTGCATCCAATGCCAAGGATTTTTGATTCACATGGGAAAAAGAAAAGACACGATAAATTGAGTTTTGACCCAAATGAAGAAATGGTTGATTTGGATGACAGTAGGGGTCACACTGGCCTTGTGAAGAGCAAAGGTGGGTGTTATAGTCACTCAGGAATGCATTTGAAACTTTTCTGTATGTATTAAAAGTAATCGTATATAGCTACCAAGGCTTATGTAGTGATGGCTGCAATATCTGTTTCCACCATACAATACTCTATTTTGAGCGTCAACACGGCTTACTAAATGTTATTTGACCTTTGGTCGTCATATGTTTATTTACTTTCCTATTGGAAGTAGCGCAGAAGATATCCTGATGATGGTTTTACCTGTTTCATATGGTATGTTGGTATGCGCAGATGGCATGGTAGAACTTGAAGCTGACACTGCGGCAATTTGCATGGAGGACAGACTGAGATCATTAGGGATAATTAGTAAAGTAGATGATCATACATTCAACTCTACACTCAATTCTGCAACATTTAAGAGTATTGATCTTCAGACTAATATGCCACAGAAGAAGGTTGGTTTGTTTAGTATTTACTTATGTGTGAATATTGGCATGATGTTGTATTTTTATATTATTATGTGCACTTCCTGATTTCTCCCTCCCTTTATTTTGTCCTGATCTAATTCATATGATCTGCCAGATGAGGGCAGCTGTGCTGTCATTAGAACCTGGTGACGCATGCAAATTATTGGGAGTCCTTGTAGCCATGTGGCAAACAAGGTTTGTTCTTGCTGTTTTGGTCTTCTTTGGGTTTTCATTACATGCATGCATGCATGTAGAGTTATATGTCATTTTGAAGGTGTAGATTTATTCTTTATGCATTTTTTTAGAACAGTGAATTGTTAGTTTGGTTTTATACAGACAATTTGTGCCTTAAATGCTTTAAGTTAACTTATGCATGTATCAAGAATATATGTATTTCCTTCCGTGTGTGTTTTTTAAAGGATGGAAGAATTCTGAATTCCATAATATCTGATGCGCTAATGTGTATCTGAACCTGGTCCACGATTTGGTTTTTATGACTGTTATTGACAATTTATGCGAAATAGTGATAGTTTGCTTCAATATTTTTTTTATCTGTTTTAGAAAGCATTACAGTATAAGTTAGGTATGACTTGAATTTTAATCTTTGATTATCTCTAACAGGTCTAGCAGCGGGAATAATGTTCTTCCATGGATTTACAGCATATTGGTAAATCAGAGTCATGATATCATGTCTCAAAAGTCTGAAACCCAGATGCTTAGCTCTTTGTTGAAGGTAAACTTTTGTGATCGATTCATACTAGTTTATTACCAGTCAATATTTGCTCCCTTATTTCATGCTCCTTTTTTTTTTTTTTTTTTTTTTTTTTTTTTCTTTCTTTCATTTTAGTTAGAATGAGCGCTTGAGATGACATGTTGCATGTTAAAGCAAATTTTAGCCTTCTGTCCTCTTTCACTGTGTATAAGTTGTAATCACTAATTCTGAAAAACAATATGGAAGACTCGACTTACAATTTCATTATAAAATTTGTGGTCGACGAAGATCTTCCGTTGAAATGTTCCCTGTTGAGGAATATGGTAGCCTATGACTTACTTTCATGTTTGACTTGCAGTTTCTTACTATTCCCCACAGTGATGCTAGGTGCCTGCTTTGGGCTTATACATATGATACACCATTACCCACTACCCCTTGACAGGCAAAGCCAATGCCTAGATGAATCTTTGGTTAGACTACCCTCAAGTCCTAAAGTGTTACCTCTAATAAAATGACTTTCCACAAATTCCACCTGGGCATAATAGTTTTTGGATTTATTATCTGCCTTATGGGGACATAATCTAAAACTCTCAATACCTCTTAAAGAAACTAGACTCAATCTTAAGTAATAATATGGATGAAGTGCGTAATTGATGTTGTTCTCCTTGCAGGTTACCAAGTCCAGAGGGGCAGCTATTCAGCCCTTATTACAATTATCAGGTCGTTTGCAACTTGTGATGGCACAGGTATATAAAACCTCACATTCTAACTTGAATTCAGTAATTTTGTTGACCAAGTCTTTTGGTTTTTTTTTTTTAAGGAAAACTAATGAAAAGGGCTTGAAAACTTTGAGTTTTAACGATAAGGACAAAATAAAGGGTAAAGTGAATAGTACTAGAATTGACTTTTTAATGTAAAAATGTGGTTTTTCGTTAAAGTGAATAGTACCGGGAGCTTTTCGTTAAAGTTCCCTTTTTTTTTTAATCTTTGATTATTGTTTTTGTTCTGTTTGAATAGATTGACAAGGCAACCCACACAAAAACTCAAATTTCATCGCACAAGCACGAAATGGATGAAACTGAAGATGAGGATGAAGATGTAAACGAAATTCACTATGGGGAAGAAGGCAATGATTCTGAGATAAGCAGTGATGAGGACTAGTAGATGGATTTTGTGATAGGAGGTATACAAAACTTTACCGTTATACATTCATTCTTTTGTCTTCTGTTTTACTTGTTATGATGCTTTCATTCTTTGTAGAAAAAAAGTGTTTGTATGGAGATGACTTAGTGTACCTACACTATTTGTCTACTGTTTGATTGATTATTACACTACATTGCTTAAGTTTAATCACCACCACAATCAGGTCAATGAAGTCTCATCATGTGGTTTCTGCTACATTGTGGAGTAGATTTATTCTTTTTAATGTGGTGTCTATTACGTCCAGCTGGTCCATGCTTAGTTTTTCTTAAGGATTTGAAACATTTTAGTTGATATTGAATATATGATGACATGTAACACGGTTTTGTTATTGGATTTCATGGCATATGGTTTATTTTTCTTTTTCTTCCTACATTTTCTCTGCAATAGCATGAACACAAGTGTATCACTGTATGTTTTCTGCGACTTGCAAAAAGCACAAGCAATTTTTGTATAAATTGTGTTACCGCATACTATTTATCTTGACGCTAATTTTTATGCATATAAATCTCAAGTATGAATTCTCCGATGAATATTAAACCAGGACCCTCCTCTCTAGGGCAGAAGTTTGATCTTGGACAATGTCAGTGTTGTAGATTTTGTGAGGAGAGACCGGAAACAATGGTTTTTCAGATAAAATTTTTGGCGAAACACGGTTTTGGAAACTCCAGGTTGCAGGCAATATGTATTATAGCCCTGTTGGAGAGGGATTTAAGATCAATTCTTTCTTCACCTACAAGCTTGGAATCTCATTCTTTCTTCCCGTAACATCACATGGTTATTAGAAAAATATATTTTCCTGCTAATATATTCTCCATTAACTTTCTTGCCGTGATTCTTTTGGGGATAAACAGCAGCCCTCCTTTTGCACCGTTGTGTGTGTGTGTCTCTCTCTCTCTCTACATTACGGTGCATGCATTCGGATTTTCGTCGCTAAAAATTGATGTGATGTTTCCGTTGCCGTTCCCGTTGACATAGTGCTGCTCCTCGTTGTAATGGTTCGTCCTGCTCAAATGTGTGGGTTGTGGGGGCGGCTGGATGTATTGATATTCTGTAACATAAGGTGATGGCCTGTATGTGTTGTAGCTGTGTGTTACATACATAGGTGGAGCTGGGGTGTGACTCATTGTGCTGGGGCTCATCGGAGGAGGGCCCATTGCGGCGGGGGTCATCGGGGAAGGGCCCATTGGGGTGGGGATAGGGGCAGTCTCCGTTGGAGGTCCTTGGCTGTTATGGTATCCGTTCCAGTAGCCATTGTAGCCTTGAGAGTAGCCATATCTGTAGCCATAATCAGGTGGGTGGTGACCGTGGTGGTATATGGTATGAACTTCTCCAACGTCTCTTGGTCTCTGGTGGTGTATTTGTTGCCCAGGATTAGTCTCAGTAGCTACAGGTGTTGGTGCTGCTGGCTCTGGCGCTGGCTGTTGAGGCGGTGGTGATTGTCCCGGTGGGTGGTGACCGTGGTGGTAAATTGTATGAACTTCTCCAACGTCTCTTGGTCTCTGGTGGTGTATTTGTTGCCCGGTGTTAGTCTCAGCAGCTACAGGTGTTGGCGTTGCTGGCTCTGGTGCTGGCTGTTGAGGCGGTGGTGATTCTCTCGGTGGCTCTGCTGACGAGGCAGCTTCAGCTGGTGGAGCTGCCTCAGCCGGTGGTGGTGCTTCTGCCGGAGGAGGATTTGCCACCTCAGGAGCTGGCGCACCATTCTCTGGTGCTTGTTCTGGCGGCTGAGGAGCAGGCTCTGTTTGTTGTTCTGTGTGGGAACATATGGTGGCAATCTTCCTCGTCTTCTTAATAGCTTTTACTATCTTCTCCGGATCCGCCCACCCAATTATTGTCAACTTTTGTTGTGGGAAGTCAATGTAAAGCTCATATATACCTGCAGAAAAAGAAAAATGATTCTTCACTGAAAAACTAGAAGCTAATAAAAGCTGCCTTCTTAGTGTAAGAAACATACCAACCAAAAACAAAAAAACATGAAACTCTTAATTTCTCACCATTGATGCCATGTAGCGCTTTCTTTATCTTCTGCACGCATCCGTTACAGTCCATCCGGACATGAATCTCCGTCACTCGAGGTTTCTGCATTTGACAAATGAAAAAATTAACGTAAGCATGGACTAATATGTGTAATCTGGAAGCATGTGATTGCAATTAATTTAGGGGCATACCTCCATGAGATGCAATGAAGAGGGTGGAGGGAGGGAGAGAGGTAGAGGATGAATGAAGAATGAATTAATAGGTGGCATTTTATTTGTACACATCGAAAAAAAAAGGGTAAGGAATAATAGAAAGCAAATATGTGGGACATGCAAGGAATCTCCTTTTTCGAATTGATTAATTTAGCCTGCAAACTTCATTGTCAAATGTGTTAAAGGGATGGAAGAAAGGGGTGGGTTTTGTATGGACGATGGAATGCTGAGCCAAAGAGAATTTTCCTTTTGTGTGTGACGGAATGGATGGCTGTGTGCGATTGAGGGACGTCTGTCTTTTGAATGTTATTAGGATATCCAAAACCGTCTATGGAGAAAAAAAATTGAAAGGAAGATGATCGGATGATCTTGTTTACATTTTCATCAAGTCATAGCTTTTGAGCATTGAATTGGAGTTCCACTAATCTTATGGAATCCTTTTGGCACAAGCAAAGATCGACGTTCACACACATGCAAATGACAAAAAAATTAGGGTTGGAAAGCATAAACCTCCTTTCATTTTAGTCGGAAAGTTTGATGGAGATTGGAGAGTTGCAGATTCTTTCACAGGCCAATCGTTTTAAAGGGTGTAATTCTAGTGTCAGCCTAGTTTTCGATGAGCTTAACCATTTTATAGTATATTCTAGCTAAAGGAAATATAAGATTTTCATTCTTCTCGGGAGAGAGATCTAAACCATGGGCAACAAATATTGCATGATTGTGTTTCAATGGCATACGGAATATTGCATGATTGTGTTTCAGTATAAGTTTTTCATTCTTCTCAGGATTAATAAAAAATTGAGGTCATATGACTTCTATCATTATAAAAAGAATCAATCAGTATAACAACACGTCTGTTGATTATACATGCCATTGTGTTTAGTAGCATACACTAACATTTTTTATGCTATCTAATTGAGTGTCATCTGGAATGAGTGTAACTATCTTCTATTCTGGCTAAACACTGTCACGTAGTATAACCAATTCATTTAAACACTGTCACGTAGTATAACCAATTCATTTATACATTATAACATGCAAATTGGTTATTACACTATTTGCTTCATCATCAAACTGTCATCCACCTATATTATAACTCTTGGAGTAGTAATACCACATGTAAGTGTTTTAGTACCATACCCTAGTTCCTTTTATGTTTCTTAGGATTGATAAGAATCTTAGGCGGTATGGCACGACCAACCAGTTTTGAAAGTTGTTTGACTTTGGTCATTGTGAGAAAGATACCAAAGAACACATAGTTTTCACTCATGGCTGATATTTCTGTTGGAAATTGGAACGAGTTTTGCATTTGTAAGTTTTCTAGTACATCCAGTCGACTTTCCTCTAGACGTACGGCTTTCTGCTATTTAGATTACTTGGTGCTCCTTGTTATCTAACTAAATTCTTTTAGAAAAAAAGAGAGCAATTGTATTGTGTATTGGGGCAGAAGCGACATATAATATATAGTAGCCAGCTCCAACCATCCAACGCCAACCAAGTGTCGGTTGGGAATCATATAACAGAAGTATCATTATTTCTTAAATGATTGCTGTTAGATTAATGCGAAAAAACCCTAGTTTTCTTAGGACTGCATTTTAACCAAAAAGCTGGTTGTCGGCTAATTGTGTGTTATTATGAGGCTGTGATCTCATGAAGTGTGGAAGTGGGACTTTAGGGTTTGTATGTAAAGTCGATTACTGTTTATTCTTGGTCGAGCATGGTAGATTTAGGCCTATCTCAGCTGTGTGAAAAACAAAACAAAACAAAGCAAAAAGGAAATGGTATTGTTGTTTTAAACGTTTCTTGGTGGTCCTAGCTCATCCTTAAGTACATTTCTTTCTTTTTCCTACGAGCGACGTTGGGGGAGGGAAGCAGACGCGAGATGTCGGGTGCCAGGTTGAACTCTTAACCATTTGAGCGAGAATCCACTTAATTGCTACTTTGTGCAGATATTTGGGTTAGGCATTTGAGGCCATCTTTTATGTTCTAAAGGACCAACTTAAGCGTGCAAACAATAAGAATCTCCGGAAGCAACTTTTGCTGCTTTACCCAAATCCTAAAGCTGAAGATAATTTCGTTTCTGTACACAGACTCCATGATTGCTAGTGTAACTTTATATCCCAAAAGGGTCAAAACGGACTCAGCCAAACACTGCATGTGTTCTTTGAGATCTTTCTGATTGAACAAAAAGATTGAAGCAGCTGGAAATATTGGGGGATCAGAAGGAATATAAAGGCACGCTGGCTGGCTAAAGTTTGTGAAGAATATTGACTAGCTTGCCATTGAGTCGTTGACAACGTTTTTTGAGATTGCATGCAGTGATGTGTTGAAAACAAAGTCCATTTCCCCAAAGATTGAAGAAAATTGACTAGCTTTTGTGACGTCAAACCTAAGGAATATACAGGCTGGTGTGGTGGCTATGCTTTTGCTTAATGCAATTTTTGGCTGATGATTTCCCATTAGTGACGAAAAACTGGATTACAGTTTTGTACTAAAACAGATTATGTGAGTTACTGGCACCATGAATTCATATTTTTATGGCCCTACACTAAATTAACCAAAACAAGGGGAGGGGAGATTCAAACTTGGGTAAAGAGGGAGAGTGCACTGCTCTAGCCAACTTAGCTAAGCCCAAGTATGCCAAGATGAAAGATATGGGCACAAATACTCAAGAAATCCACCTATATTTGGAACATATCCAAAGTATCTGAATGTTAATTTGGTAATTGGGGAAGACCAGCAGATCCTTCGATCTCTTACAATACGTTAAGTAAATCCAAACATTGTTCTTGTTTTATTAACCATGATGTCAACCCTTGTTGAAGGGTTCACAAGAATCCTAAACAATGAAATTGCAGCAATGCTATTTATGGTTTGTTCCCACGTATATATAGAATTATTAAATAATTCGTAATCAATTGCATAAATATAGGAGGATCAATCGACTACGAAGACTCCATGACCTCAAGAATAAACATTTGGGTTCTCCAAGAGGTAGGCTTCCACAACTTTGTATATCCCGATAGCACTGTTCTTGCCTGCTATGATTTCCTCTTCTTTGACCTCAACCTCCCCAATGGTGTTGTATTTACTTGTCATCTTGCAGATTGAGCTCCCATCACTAGCTGCCTCAAACTTCACCTCATAAGCAATAGACTCAAGCTTCTCACCTAATGCATCCCCTTCAATCATAGTGTACTTGCACACAAAATTCTCTACGTCAAGTTCGTCAATCCGGTGCTTCACGTATCTGAAATGGCTTCCTACATCGTAAACCAAACGAAATATTCACTAAGGAAGACATATAAGAAACGTTGCAGAACTGCTAAAATAAAAGTTTATCTGTTTGTGAATTGTATGTCAGATTGCAAACCTTCCGTGAAATTGACTTGTTCAATGCTTCCTGCTCCTCCATCTCCCTGTGTTACATCGACGCTTGCGATGAACTGGGGCAACAGCTTTGGTATCAGATTTTTTGAGTCTATGATCAAAGCCTTGAACATGCGCGCCGGGGCGATTGGGCAGAGGAACTCCTGTGTTATACTTGTCACACCCATAATTTGTAGATTAGTTGTAATAGCAGATGTAGTTGGAAACCATTGGCATCATGCACATATAGAGCTTAAGTTTGAGATGCGTGTGTATGTAGCTAGGTTGGTGAAATCAATGTGGAAAACATGAAAAATTAGGTTGTAGCGTAGGGTTGTAGCTGCAGTCTTTGAATGCCTTTCAAAGTTTCAAAGTATTTTGGTCGCTAAGCAGACCTCGGTTTCAAACTTTAAAGATTCAACTCAGAAGTACATGCTTTTAAACATATGGGCGGCGCTTACAAAATCTCTCAGTAACTGTAGCATCCTTTGGATCCTTATGAGGTCCAAGTTTTCTCTGCATCGTAAATTTCTGTTGGAACAAAGTGCAAGCATCTTTAATGGGCTCTGTTAACCCAATTTCTCTCTCTTTTCCATTTTCTATGGGTTGCCCAGATAGACCTGCAGTACATAACATATTTACAGAGAGCGTGATATGGTAGTGAACCACCTTGTTAATCTAGGAAATAGCCTTGAGTTGGGGCTTAATTACTGTGTTTCATGACCCTCCTAATTGTATTAGGTCCTTTTTGGATGACAATTTACTACGTGTTTCCAGGCCTCATGTCATTATTTTCTTCATGGGAATTAGCTTTGTATCTCATCCAAAAAGAGAAATATAATAACAGAGGTATATATAACCATGTTCTTAAATCAGCTGCAAATTTATGGTGTTTCTGCATCTATTTCCTTATTTGCAAGTGTTTTAAATCCTTTCCTCTCCAGTAAATCAAAACAAGTAATTTACTAAAATAAAATAACTGACAGAGTCCAATTAAGAATTTCAGGTTAGAATTCCAATCTGTTTATCATCTGAGATTTGCCTCTCCACTTTGCTTAGGATGGATGCTGCTGAGATATTTTGGTTGAACTAAAAAAAAAAAGAAAAAAGAAAAATGGATTAACTACTTGTACACTGCCCAGCCCCTGATTTAGAATCAAAATTAAATATTTATCTTAATCACAATCTTGTACAACAAGAAGAAAGTCTAGGAAAGAAGAACTGGAAAAGCACTTCTGGGAAAAAAGAAAAACAACATGAACAATATTTTAGATATATTGTCCACAGCAGAATTCCCAAAAATCGATAAAAATTTTATTGAAAAATTTCAGATGTAGGCGCGAGGGTGTGCCATGAGGTAGGCTTCCAAAACTTCATACATCCCAATAGCTCTATCCTTGCCAAGCTCAATGTCTTCTTCTTTGATCTGAATATCATCTTTGGCTTTGTATGTGCTGGTCAAATGACAGATGCATCCTCCTCTTCCATACCCCTCAAACTTGACATCATAAGTTATGTATTCAAGCTTGTCCATCAAGTGATCCGACGCGTCGCTTTCGATGAAGGTGTAGCTGCAGCTGAGGGCCTCCTTGTCCAAAGCATCAATCCTGTGCTTAACATATTTCATAGGACTAGCTGCACATCCCCAACAAAACCAACACAAAAATTAGATACTGATTTTCATGTAAAATCATAGAGAAAGAAAATGGAAAATGGACCAAAATGATTTGGTTTTCAACTTGTTGTCTTTATCTGACTTCTGTATCGTCAATCTTTGGTTTAATTTTGAATTCGACAACTGAGATTTGATTGTGATCATTAATTTTAGCTAATTTGACTTTTTATGTGCTTAACAATTTACCTTCAGTGAAGTTGATCTGTTTGATGGTTCCAACTTCTCCTGAACCACTAAGGAATTCGATACTTTTAATTGATGAGAACATGAGCTTGGGGCAGAGGTTGTGGGAGTCCAAGATCAAGGCGTTGAACATCCTCTGTGGCGTCACCTGAGTCACAAACTTCTGACTGATCTTGGTGATTCCCATGTTTTCTTTTGCTTGATGAACACTTGGGGAGTTGGGATCAAAGAAACAAAAAAAAAAAACAAAAAAAAAAAAAAAGGTTTTGATTTGTGAAAAATATCAAAGAGGGAGGGAGGAGCAAATTTTATCAGATTAATAATTTTAGGATATGAATAATGAAGACAGAACTTTAGGTAGTGGGCTGCTGCTTTTTTGCTTGGAAGTTGTTGGTCTGAATAATATTGTTTAAGTCCTAATAAACTCTGTAATGGTGGAGCCCGATGTATAAGTTGGACCAAATGTAAACTAGTGTGGACTTTTCAACAAGGGGATGGAATCGGATGGTTCCTCTTTAAAAATGATCAACTGGATGACTTGTATTGACATGGAACTTTCATGCTCTGGAAGGTACACTGTATGTTTTATATTCAGGAGGAAGACTGCATGTAATGTTAGGCTTGCAGTGACATGGAAATTTCATCGTCTAACTCTTCTTACTTTAAACAATAATCAAATCTAACTTTGTCAAATTAGTATCAAATTAGAGTTTATATTATCGTGTCACACATTACTTCCCTTGCTTTGTTCGAGTTTAATTTGGTGCTAGTAGAGTTTGTTCAAGCTTTGGAAATAATTAGGTACCGACCACCAGTGACCAATTATGTTTCCCTACTGATCTTAAGCCTACCTCTTCAACTTTTGTAACACCTATTTGTGATGAAAAACCTATATTATTATCATTCATCTCCATTAACAAGGGCAGAATTAGAAATTTTAGGAGGCTGGGCTATTATTTCTTAGATGGGCAAAGATCTGAATAAAGTTTTATTTCTTTACTCAAAGGAAAAATGTTTGAAGTGTTATGGGCTAGCTGATTGATTTTTGTTTAAGATTGAGTTGCTACGATAAGATAGCCTTTAATTTTTTAAATATGGCGTGACACTAAATTTGATCAAAAAACCCATCAAAATTCAGTGATTAACCACCAATTAATCAAAAAACCAAATCACACCCCAACAAAAACAATCAAATTCACAAGTTTTATTTGAGAAAGAAAAAAAAAACAAGAACAGATGATGGAAAAGGGTGGAATGGGTATGGGTGCGGAGGCGTAATAGAAGACACGATGGAGTGGAGAGTAATCTGTGTTCTTCATTTAATTAATTTAAATTATATTCTTAAAATAAATATTAGTTGTCACTATAAAAGATGATGTCAAGTTGTCAACTTAGGTGTCGAATGTTAATAAGTGTAACTCCAGGTCAGCAAGTGTTCCGGTCGTCTAGAAAAATTTCTCCGTGTGCACCTAACTGAGCCACAACCCGTTTTTCTTGGGCTAATTTTCAAAACCATTATGATGTGCCATAAAAATCAACGACCAAGATTATCCAACAGTAAAAAATCTTAAAATTACCAAAAAAATAAAAAATAAAAAAACGAAAGAATACTCAAAATTTTTTTTTTTTATTTTTTTATTTTTAAATATTCAGCCATCTTATTCATTCACCACTCCACACCACAACACAACTCAATATTTATTTTCACTACAATTTTCTATATTTGTTTTCTACTTCCCAAATCCTTTTGTTACCAACAAAAATGAGTGAGAATGCAAATTGATTGATAGAGGAAGACTTTACTTTGCTTCATACTTGGGTGCTTGTTACTCATTACCCGATCACAGAATGAGATGAAAGTGCAACAAATATGAAAGAAGTTCATGCACAATTTGTCGAGCAGAGTCAAGGAACATCCCGAATTGAGCCATCTATGTCGAGTAGGTTCAAACATCTGCATAACGATTTGAAAGGTTGGCAAGAAGCCCTTGCAAAATCGGAAAGAATTTATCGAAGTGGCTATAATCTAGCCAGTAAAGTAATAACACTTTCTTATTAAGTCTTTAAGTTTTATAGTCATCTCAAGGAAAATGTGAATTTTCTTGGACAACTTCATTAGTCTTAGTCCGTGTTTTAAAAAAGAGGAAATTTGATATAAGTCCAATTCTTTTAGACAGTAAGTAGAAATAGTCCAGTTTATTAAAATAAGTTCAATTCATTAAATTTAATTATTTAATTATTAATAAATATCTCTTTAAAGATAAGATCTACTGTAAAAATTAAATTTCGTTCTAATTATCTCTTCAGTTTTTTTTTTTTTTTTGGTTATTTCTTGTTCTTCCTCCTGCATTAAACCCCATTTATAGGTTTTATTTTTAATATTTATAATCAACCTATATCACAAGTTAATTATATTTATCTACTTATATTTATTCTTCTTTTTATAATCAACCTGTATCACAAATTAATGTGTCTTACTTGTAGATATATTATGTTTTTTCTACCTTTTAGTTAGGTTTAACATCTCGCTCATAGATATACATTCATATATTTGTTATTTGAGTAGGGTCGTATGTGCAGATAGATTTGTATTGGCATATTAGGTTGTTGTTACAATAGATTAAGTAGATTTTAATTTATCTCTAATATTTAAAAAAAATGAGTATAAAAGAAATAAAAGTGGAAAAAATATAATACTTGACTTAATCTAATAACCATGTTGAATTTTTGATCCCGCAAAGGTGGGCTATAGACCAGCCTCAGGTGCCTAGGTGGCCTAGATGTCTGAATTAAAAAATAATAATAATAATAAAAAATTAAAAAAAAAAAAAAAACCCTATCCAAACCAATTTATGGCCCTGGCCAGTAAATGGGCCTTTATGAGCCTCTAAAATATCTTTTATACCATGACCAATGCCCCAGTTGGTCCTATACATGTGACCCGCTACCAGGAAAAGAATTGCAATAGCTAAATGATGGTGTGCAATATCGGTCAGCCATAGACCTCCAGTTACTGGATCTAATCCTCCACGAAAAGTAAGAAATTCCGCATATTTTGACCAATTCAAGGTGAAAAATGGGGTTGCTCCCTCAGCAAAACTGGGATAAAGTTGAGCCAAAAGATCCCGATTCAAGATAAATTCATGAGGGAGCGGAATCTCTTTAGGATCTACTCCAGCGTTTAGAAATTGGTTAATTGGTAAAGATACATGTACTTGATGCCCCGCCCAACCAAGAGAACCAAGGCCTAGTAGCCCTGCTAAATGGTGATTCAACATGGATTCGACATCTTGGAACCAAGCTAACTTCGGAGCAGCTTTGTGATAATGGAACCAACCAGCAAAAAGCA